TGTCAAAGAGCAACATTCCCCAACACACACTAGGCTTAATAGGTTACATATGGTGTTCTATCTAATTTTAAAGAACATATACAGTAACTCAAAGAATAAAGTGATATCAGCATAGAAAAAGAAAAAAGGTTATCTTTCTGAAACAAGCATTCCTTTGACAAGAAAACCTAACAGCCTGCACATACATACACACAACATCTAGAGACAAACAACACAGAATATGGATATTAATAAACCTAGGAATTCATCAAACTATTCTCTCTACTTCTGTATATGGTTACAACTTTCTATAATAAAAAGATAAAATAAAAAGTTTACTCAAGGAGAAAAAAATTCTACCTATATCACCACCTATAAAAAGTTTGACAAAAATGTGGAGAAAGTGTAGGAAAATAGGCACTCTCTGAAACTTCTAGTGAGAGAGTAAACAGGCAACCTCTATGGAAAGCAATTTGACAATGTTTATCAAAATTATAAACACACATTTCTGCTGATGTAGCAACTCCATGTTTAGAAATCTGTCCTACATACACTCGGATATACATGAAATTACAAGGCACACAATAATTTGTCATAGCACTGGTCGTCATGGCAAAGACTGGAAATAATCTACTAGCCATCAATAGAGTTGGCTAATTATATTACACCCATTTAAGCAAATTCTCAAAAGTCATAAAAAAGAAAAAGGAAATTCTGTAGGTGCAGACATGGAAAGCTCTAGGATTAAGTTTTGAAAACAAGATACAAACAAAGGTATAAGCAGTCATTTATGCAAAAAGAGAGAGAGGGTAGTAAGCCTTTTGTATCTTTTTGACTTTGGAACCATGTGACTATAATCTCAGGCCAAAATGAAAATTCCACTTATAAACATTTCACCTGTTGGGCATAGTGGTGCATTCCTATAATCCCAGCCCTCAAGAGGCTGAGGCAGAAGGATCACTGTGAGTCTGAGACCAGTATGGGACAGTGAGTTCAAGGTCTGCCTGAACTATACACAGAGGCCCTGTCTCAAAAAAAATTTTTTTTCACCTTTGGAAATGTACTACAGTATTGCCTTTATAAATTAATAATCCTCTTAGAAGATTTGTTATTCCTGTTATACTGCCGAGAGGCGGGCCATATTTCCAAAAAAAGCCAGTCCAAGAAACTTTTATTATTTTAAAGGACTTAGAGAAATACTGCACACAGATAAAGGGAGGGCAGTGGATCAGACAGAGGGCACCTATCCAGTCAGTGATTTTGTATCCCTGATGAAGCTGTAGAATGATCCAGTGATCTAACTACCCATGATTCCCTGCACCCCAACCACAGAAAACTGACATCAGAAATTTGGGGCATGAGGCCCTAGTCTAAAAATCACCAGCCTCAATGCTTTCAAACAGCATCAACAGAAAACCCCAGGAAGACTTTTTGCTTCCCCCCGGGGGCATTTAGCAATGTCTTGGAGATACTTTTGGTTGTGGAAACTTGGGGTGCAGGTATACTACTGGCACTGGGCACAGGCCAGGAATGCAGCTAAACCTTCCGGACTGCACAAGACAGCCCCTCACAACAATCAGATGGCCTAGTACATCTACATCTAGAGTGCTGAGGTTGCCAACCCCTGCTTTAAAATAAAATCATTCCTAGCCTGGTATGGTAGCGCATGCCTATAATCCCAGCACTCAGGAGGCTGAGGCAGGAGGGCTGCCACGAGTTTGAGGCCAGCCTGGTTGGGCTACATAGTGAGTTTAAGGCCAGCCTGAAATACATCATGAGAACCTGTCTCAAAAAGCCAAAACCCTCCCCCAAATAAAATCATTCCAATTTACATAAATATCACTGAAATACGTATGTATGTAATGGTATTTCAAATGGACTAGAAAAATATTGATAGTGTCGTCTCTGGCAAGCCATTGGGATTAAGGGGCCGGGCATGTGGCACACACCTGTAGTCCTAGCACTCGGGAGGCTGAGGCAGGGGGATCACTTCGAGATCGAGGCAAGCCTGGGCTACATAGTGAGTTCAAGGCCAGCCTCCTGAACAATATAACGAGACCCTGTCTCCACCCCCCCCCAAAAAAGACATTGGTATTAGGGTTGCTGATTAAAAAGGGCCTTTAACTTTACTTTCAATTTTTATGCCTTAAAAAAGATCAGTAGCATAGCAATCTTGAAAGTCGGTAATACAAAACTTTTAAATAATAAAATGACTGCTTCTGAAGTAACACCCAGTTTCAGTGTTCACTCCTAAATACAAACAATAATCTCCTTATTTACTAATGTGGGATATATTAGCATATGAAAGTATTTCAGTGGCCATAGAAACTACAATTTATTTGTTCACATGGCTATAACAAATACTGTAGGCAAAAACCGTGCCCATCTCTTCTCTGGTCCCTTTGTGGTTACTTTAGCCAAAACTTACGTCCCTGGGTACTAAAGGTATAAGGTTCACAAACCAGCACGCTGGGGGCCAATGTGGTCCATCCAGCTAGTTTAATAGTTTACACCGAAGGTCTTTTAAAACACACTGAGCTGACACTAGTTAGCTGCCCCCTCTGGAGTCATCCACACACCAAGTTTCCCAACAGTCCCCAGATGCTGGCTTCATTTACTCACCTGCTGCTCTCCACCTAAGGATCTGAGTTGGCCCTCTGCAATTTTCTCCAGGCACACAGGGCATACAGCCTCTTTACTCCTGTTCCTCTCACCTTACAAATACCCCTACATCCATGCTAAATGCTCAAATTCCCTCATCATTTGCTAATACAGAACTTCTATCAAGAGGGAACTAGGAGAAAAGTAGAAGTAGCAATGGCCTTCATGGGACAACTTGCTTCTGTTAGTTTTCATGTCATTAAAGGTAGGTTCATTGCCACCTAAATTGTTGCCAACAAGGCTTGTAGTTTCTAGCAAATTCCACTATAATTATCTACATGTTGCACTCTTATAAGGAAAAGACTTAAATTATTATGCTTCTCTCATGATCCTAGATTAGTCAAGCCCTCTATCCTTCCCAAAATAGGTCAGAAGACTGAGAAAGGTCTGTCAAAAGATTTGATAATGTTCTTTTTAAAAGTTCATTCCCCTTCCATTGAAATTACTATCATATGATTTTAAGCTGTCCTTTAGGAGTACCTGATACAATACCACATTTTATTACTGAGCAAAAGGAACCACAGTTTCTGTCACTTAGCCAAGGCCACACTCTGAGTTAGTGGCAGCACCAGAATTAGAACATTCCTTCCAGATACAGGTCCCCATAGAGTTTGTTTGTTTGTTTGTTTGTTTTTGGTACCGGAGATCGAACTCAGGACCTTGTGCTTGGGAGACAGGCAGCTGCACCACTGAGCTAAATCCTGGCCCCCCATAGATTTTACATGACATTATCACCCACTGTGGTTTTCATATTCAAATAACATCCTAGCCAAGACACCTATTAACATGAGTAGATACTACTAGCTCTCATAGAAATGAATTAACCAAACATGCAGCCACACTATTAAAGCTTCTGAAAACTTTTAGAGTGGGAAGAACCTGGGTTTAGTTCTGGATTATTTTTGCTCTTTTCTGAATTAACCTGGCTCAGTTGACCTTCAGAATATTTTTTTTTGATACCTTCAGAATCTTTAAACCAATGGTGGCGAGCCTATGGCACGGATGCCACAGCCAGCTGTTTGTTATCCTTGAAAGCTCTAAAAGGTTCGCCATCGCTGCTCTAGACCATAAATCAAAATGGAAAACATGCCTTTTTATAGCAACAGCAGCATTTTCATCTTAAACTCTGAAGTAAGGATCTCCCTCAAACTTCTAAAATTCTATGAGTAGCCAGAGATGGTAGAGCTCAACTACCAAAAAGCACTGGGGAGTGAAATTTAAGCTGTGAAGATTAACATCTCACTGGATTCTGACTTTCATCATCAGTCTCTGGCAAACTGGTTTGTACGATTTTAATTTGGTCTCAACTTTAATTATCTTCCTATCCAGTTTTTTTAAGTATGGATAGCATCACATTTGCATAGCAGGTCTTCCTGGACCGTTCTACCTACTCTACATTTTAATTTTTATGCCTAACTGACACCATCCCTTGCCATTTACCTAAAATTCATTAAAGGAACAGAGGCCCCATTATTCTCCCAGGAGAGCTTAGAACATCTTTGCTGCCCCATTTTATTTTTCTTTAGGGATGCCGAGTTCCATTCTGATACCTGAGTGCACAGTTTTGTTTTACTTTCAGGTGTTTCACAACCGCATTCAACCGCAGCACCCTCTAGGGAAACATGATCTAGTTAGAGAAAGTGGCAGAATCTATTCCCATCTCAGCTAGGCCAAACTAAGACAGGTAGGGGGCCCAGGTCTGTGCCAGCTCAACCTGTGCAAGCTTCCTGCCAGCTTACCTGGCAGGAGAGTGGATGGGATGCCAAAGGAAAGGAGCAAAACAAGAGGCTGGCACCGAGGCCAAAGTTGTCGTAGACCCTGCTCTGACGCTAGGGGCCCACACCTCGCTCTTTCCCGGCATCTAAGGCGTTTGGAGTCCAGGCCTCTAATTGCTTTAAGGTAAAGCAACAAGATGACTACAGTTCGAGTCCTGCCAGTCAGGCTACACAACAACACCTCAGAAAAGAAACAAAATGCTATTGCATAATGTACCCAACCTCGAGATGTTTCTAAACAGCTCTTACCCAACCAAAACCACCTAAATATAAAAACATTCACAAGCCACCCCCATTTCGTTCTGAAGTTTTGCGTCAAGTAGATTTGAAGCTCATGATGGCTGGTCGGGGAAGTCCGGCCTGCCACGGTGATCCTCGGACGCGGCTTCTGTGTCTCTGGGTTCGCCCTCAGCTGGTAGTGAGGGTGTCAGGCCCTGTCCCTCCGCACCCCGAAATCCGAGCTTGGAAGAGAGCTCCCAGGCATCCCACGGCCTCTGCCCCGAAGCTGTGGAGACCGGAGACCGGGGTGGCCGACTTGCGCGGCCCACACCCCGGGGCCCCTGGGGCCCAGGGCCCCGCACTCACCAAAGTCCAGGAACTGTTTGATGGAGAGTGGCGATGGCGAGAAGCGCGAGTAGCGCTCGATTTGCTTCGGCACCGACTGCTTCAGCAGCCACAGGAACAGCCGCATCGTCACGGGAGTAGTGCACCGACCCGCCGAGACGTCCTGACGGCCACAAGGGCCCCAGCAGCTGGGCCGCTCCGATCCGGCACGTTCGCCAGAGCGCACCTCTGCCTCTCTCGGCCTCGGCCCCGCCGGTGCAGCCGGCGCCACAGCAGCAATTCACTGCCGACGCCGGGTGCTCGCGGCTTCTCTAGGCCCCGCCCAGGAGGGCGTAGTCAGCCGCTGCACGTACACAGCGCGCGAAGGGTGCTAGGGGCGCGAGGGGCACGCGGCCGCACGCCTGTGCCGCTGATTGGCTGCCGCCACCGCCACCCGGGCTTCCTAAGTCGGTTGAGACACCGGATCCTCGCTACCTCACTCCTGAGACTTAGAACGTCTCACCAAGTGCCCCAAGTGCCCCAAGTCCCGGCCCCGCCCTCAGCAAGGTCCTTGGGGCTGAGAAGTAGCAGAGGTACTGGGGACCGGGAAGATGCAAGGAGCGCACGTCGAAACAGGATCCTACAAGTCACTCCAAGTATTTCTTAGCCCAAGGGGCCTCTTCCGGGAAGGCTTCCCTCCATCAGCTGACTATTGCAATGTCGAGTGTTCCTTGCATCTCTGACACTGATTTTCGTTTGCTGTTTGTCATATTTATATTAGGCCGTTTCATGCCCTCCACCGCTGTTGCACAGCATGAGCTGTTATGTCACTGACTGTTTATTGGTCCCCCGGCGCCCCGCCCCCTGCCGCTCACACCCCCTACCCCCCAGCATCCTTGGACACAATTTTTAGGTCACTTCTCTGTGTCGAGGCCCTCCACCCCTCCTTCCCACTGGGGAGGGAGCAACACCGTTGGACAAGATTAGTCATTAAGTCGAAGCACTGATTCTGTTTCATGCCCAGCCCACCCCACCCGGCACACTATCACTACCATTGGATGGGATCCATTGTTAGGTCACTGGCACTTTGTTTCAGGACCTCACCCTCCACTCTCAACACTGTTGGACAGTAATGATTAGTTGGTAAAACACCATTTCGTCCCCAGCACTACCATGTGGAAAGGGTCAAATGTAAGGACACTGGGACTTTCATACTCTCCTGCCAACATAGATCCCTGCCCCGCTTTCATGTTTTTGCCATTATCACCACCACTCAACAACGCAGGTCTATGCTTACACCTGTGTTGACTATTCTTTGCATAACAGCAAACTTGAACTCACAGATCACTGTATAAAATCATTATTACCTAATGTGAACGCACGAAATACTGCTTGCTGTGACCATTTCCACCAAACCTGAACTTACTGTTTGGTAATATAAACACAAACTCAAAAGAAAGGTAGAGTGCTCCTTAATGAAAGGTAAAAATGTAATTGGAAAGCACTCTTGTTCTAACTGGACTGGTTTACCGCTGTTTTCTCTTTTGAATGAGATTATTAGTGTGTAGCTGTTTAGCTTTTGTGCTTTCATTGGGTATTTATTTGCTCATTTCATTGCTTCATAAAATACTTGCATCTCTACTTTCTGAACTTAAAGAAAAGTTACACATACACTCAAAACTATCCGCTTGTCTTCCCACATTTCCAGATTTTCAAGTACAACTTGACCATCCTGATGGTGGTATGTGAACTATCCTCTTTTCCATTCTAATCAAAGCCCAAGAAAGGACCTGAGTTCGATCCCCAGTACCAAAAAAAAAAAAATTGGACTGGGGATTTAGCTCAGTGGCTCTCTGCCACCTGCCTCGAAAGCACAAGGACCGGAGTTCAATCCCTGGTACCAAAAAAAAAAAAAAAGCCTAAGAAAGATATACTGGCAACCTTTCCAACCAGCAGCTTTACCAGCAGAGCTAAGCATTCCACTTGGTGTGCATGGGTGCATAAAACGAAGACCATTGCCTCTGGCTCCTCTAGTGACTTTCTCAGGTTCTACCTGCAGGTGTGGTGTAATTGGTAGAAGTTGTGATAGTCACTAGGCAGGAAAAAGTTGGATATTGGATGGACAAGAAGGGTTTTGCAACATAGCACTGCTGATCTTTCTGAGATTGCAAATCACTTGTTTGCACCTTCCTTTTTCTGCTGCACAAACTGCTACTTTAAATCTATTTATTTCATTGATTTGATTATTTGAACTTTCATGTACCTAGTTTTATTTATGCATCTCCAAAAGCTGCCAAATTCCTAAAAGTTGGGAACAGTATGAAAAAACTTATTTTGTTTGTTTGTTGTTTTGGTTTTGGTTTTTTGAGACAGGGTCTCACTGTGTAGTTCAGGCTGGCCTTGAACTTGAAGTAGAGAATTACCTCAGCCTCCCGAGTGCTGGGATTACAGGTGTGCACTGCCATGCCGGGCCCAAAAAAGTCTGGTATAATGGAAAATGTTTTGATCAGGACATAAATGACCTATCTCAAGCTTGGTTCTAGAGTTAACTAGCTGTGCAGCTTTAGACAAGTCATCTAGCCTTTCTTTATCCCAGTTATTTTCATATCAGATGGAGACAGCTGATTTTTCTCCCTAGCATTTGTGACAATCAAGTGAAATAAATCACATCCGCTATAAACAAAAGGTATTGTTTTATCTCTTTTGTACAGCAATGCATATATTTTTACATAATAGTTCCATGAGAGTTGACAAAGTCCAGAAACTAAAGCAGTGGGTTGATTTCAGTGGTGGTTGTACTTAAATGATCTTTTTTTTTTTTTTAAAGAACTCTACTGACCTATACCCCCAGCCTAACAGAAGGTCTCTTGAGAGAAATACATCTTAAACTTTTTCCAATTCTTATACACACCAATGTCTTGTGCAGGTCTCACTCCTAGTGGCTCCCCAAGTGAAATCCCTGGGCCAGCATCAGCAGAATTATGTGGGAGCTTATTAGAAACATAAACTCGTGGCCCCTACTGTAGCCCTACTGCATCTGACACTCTGGGAGTGAGGCCCAGGAATCCATTTTAACATACAAGCTTTGAGGGTTTTAATACATGGCCATGAATTCTTTGATACTCCTCAAGTAATGAAGCTTGATTCACCTCCCTTTGAGTGTGGGCCAGGCATAGTACTCACTTCTGACAAATAGTATATGGCCAAAAGTGGTAAAATCTCACCTTAGAGGTTAGGTTATAAAACAACTAGGGTCCCACAAAATATCTGACCACTACTCCTCAAAACTATCAAGGTCACTGAAAGCAAGGAGAGTCCAAGAAACTGTCACAGCTAAGAAGAGCCTCAGGACATATGACAACTAAATGTAATGTGTTATCCTGAATCAGATTCTGGAAGAATAGAAGGAGACTAACTTGCTTAAACTTGAGTAGAATGGGACAGATGAGAAAAAAAGAATCTCTGGTTATCTCATCATCAATCACTTGTTGGTAGATCTTTAAAAAACACCTCCACCATCACTTGACTGGGCTACAAGAGCCTAATCATCTTGTCTTTTCCTCCTCTTTTCTCTCAACCAACACTTTTTGAGAATCTATTGTGTACCCAGTAAAAATAAATATGTTGTCTCGTCATAGTAAATCTGACAGATGAGTTTTACCCTCATTTGACAGGTGAGTGAATAATTTTACAAGTTAAAGTAATCTAAGTTGTACAACTTGTAACAGTCTGGATTCAAATCTGTGTCTCTTGATTCACAATTCTATGTTCTTTTAAAAGGTATGGGACAGGGGCCAGGGATTTAGCTCAGTGGTTCTGCCACCTGCCTTGCAAGAGCAAGGACCTGAGTTCGATCCCTGGGACCAAAAAAATTTAAAAAAGAAAAGAAAAGGTATGGGACTGAGGATTTAGTTCAGTGGCACCGCACCTGCCTCGAAAGTGCAAGGTCCTAAGTTCAATCCCTGGCACCAAAAAAAAGGCATGCCTTTTTCAAAAGACCTTATTTTAAAAAGCATTTTTAGGTTTACAAAATTGAGTGGAAAGTACAGGGCGTTTCCACATGCTCTCTGTCTCTCTCTCACAAAGCCTACCCTGCCATCAGCAACCTCCCCCAGAGTAATACATTTATTACAGTTAGTGAACCTACATTGATATAACATAACTCAAAGTCCATAGTTCACATCAGAGTTCAATCTTGGTGCTATGCAGCCTGTGGGATTTGACAAATGTACAATGACACACATCCACCATTGTAATATCTTAGGGAGTATTTTCCCTCCTCTAAAAGTCCTCAGTGCTGTGACTATTCATTCTTCTTTCCCACTAATTCCTAACAAGCACTGATCTTTTTACTGTTTCCATAGCTTTACCTTTTTCAGAATGTTATAAAGTATATACAGTATATTACCTTTCAAGATTGGCTTCTTTCATTTAGTAATATGGATTAAAGTGGCTTCTGTATCTTCTTATGGCTTGATAGCTTTTTTTTAGGGCGAAATGATATTCCGTTGTGTTGATGTACCAATTTATTTATCCTTCCAAGATTTGCCAGCCCACCTTTTGATTTTAAAACTAGCAAGTGAGATTGAGAAGACGAGTGAATTAGTGGAGCGAGGTGCCAGTGCAATTGAAAAAGGCACTGTCCAGTCCAAGGCACTGAGTTTTATTGCTAATCAATTGGAGTAAAGGTGAGCTACGTACAGGGGCAGAACTATGAGCGAGGATACGCAGTCGTGCAGTTTGTATAAAAATTAATGTAAGCAAGGGTCACGAAGGACAAGACAAAACATTCTCAAATTAAAAACAAAAAAGACAAAATATATGGTTGTAATTAAAACATTGTCCTTCTAGTTTAAAAGTTTTAAAAGTTTTAGTTGTAGAAATGGAATTTGGGCTTGAATTACTCTGGCCTCGGCCCGTGGACTCACTTCATAAACAAGCCAATTGTAGGGTTAACTCTTCACAGCCTGCTTTGGGCATAATCAGTATTACAGTCTCCCACAGTGAGAGCTACTTAGTAAATTTATGCCTTTAATCAAATGCGTATGATTTTAAGCAATAGCTCTTTTTTTCCAAGTATCTAGATCAGTGGTGGTGAACCTATGGCATGCGTGCCACAGCAGGCTGGCTGTATCATGGAAAGCTCTGATCACTGATCTAGATTCTAGGTTCAAGCCCTCTTGTCCATTTTTCCTGGTCTTTTCACTTACAACTAGAAAAAATCTTCAGCCTTAGTAGTCTTTCTCTTCCCCAAAAAAGAGATCAGAGAAGATATTAAGTCCATGGATGTGAAAAGATACTTATTTAAAAATTTATGTTTTGTTTTTGCTGCTCTTG